CTACCTGCTCTTGGGGTATTGCCGAGAATACATTTTTAGCCTTTTCATCCAGGTGGTCATCTGCCAATATTTCCAATAGCGACCTATCACTAAATCCCAACGATCCATATTTCCTTCGAAACCTTCGCAAAAATTCTTTGAAATTTCCCCCTGGTTTCCCTCGAAACACACCGGGGTCGACACAACTACTCGCTTGTAAGAATTTTAAAAAGCTATCCATGTAATTCGCACCTGTTGCCGTTTGTTCCGCCGCTTTTTCCCATTGCTCCAAATGCGCTTTCAAGTGCGGCGCGCAGGCTGCTCCAATCTCCACTGGCTCGTGGTACCGCTCTGACATTTGACTCGTCATCTGCAATTTTCCATTTTCAGCACTTGCCGATTGGTTCTCCATACGTGTTTTGCTGTTTATTTCCGTACCTTCCATGTCTTCGTCGGACATTTCTTCATCGTTTCTCATCATATCCTTCGCTTGCTTCTCTTGCAGCTTCTGGATCTCACCAACAACGTCTCGCACCTGTAGCACATCTGTATCTAGCATATTGCAAATTTTTGCTAGTAGATCTCCATCCCTCTCTACAACCTTCAAAAGGTCATGCCAGTCCTCCAGGGATTCAATTCCCTTCCTTTGTAAGGAATCCATTAACTCTTTCCCAAAAGTCAGGTATGACTTCATGCCCCTTTCCAGCGTCTCCAGCGTCTCACACGCGTTTTGGACCTGCTGCTCTATTGACCTATCTATCATCAATCTACATTTGGGAGCAATTCGTGCCTCTTCCAGATCACTTTTGATCTTTGGACCTATGCTCTTTATCGATTCAACGACTCTCCCAATCTCGCCTCTCAGTAGGGTCACTATTTCCTTCCCTGTGCCACTCACCTCAGAGCCTTGGACGTTTGCCTTGTCTTGATCCATCTCTAGGACGCTTTCCTGTCTTCGTACAGCAGCTTCGGCTGTATTTCTGCAATAATCCATTTTCTCTTGATTGAATGGACTATTCCAAACACGAAGGCCTTTCTCGCTATTCGGCGGTTCCACGATTAAGTCGCCTTTCTCACTATTCGGCGTTTTCACGAACAGAAGTGGTGAGCTCGATGTTCACTTCAGACGTTTGGGTGAAACGGCTTGGCCCCCATGTAGTATATGAGACCCGTTTCTCTCCACTTGAGTNGGACCTTGAGACTCTGGCGGAGATGAGAGGGCGTCCTCCTCAGAGGGAACGCTTCCCTCTTATAGTGAGCCCCTGGCCCTCTTGATCTCCGGTGGCGGCGGGAGACCCTCGCGCTCCCTTCCGCGTGATCTTGTGATCCACAGAAGTAGTAATATGGAAAACCTCCAAATAGCATCAGGAGGGAAGTAGCACCGGGGTGGGTGAGTCGAAGCTCTATAAGACATTTCCTTCTTATATATAAAGCAGTAACTTGGTGAGTAGGTTAATGAGTGGAACGGGTACAGCGGAGGTAAGTGAGTAATGTGGAGTGAAGTGGAGACTTTAGAACTGTGATTTTCATCTGCACTGGCATCGTGCTATGTATGTCTAGGCAAAAATCGGATAGTGCATTTGGAAGACCTCTACTTTTTTTCAACATTGAGCGCTAGAGCGCATATAAAAAGGTTAGCCCATGATTGCGCTCAGAAACGTTTCTCAGCCGAGAACATACAGTTTTTTGACCTGAGTTTCAGGAGCACCGAGGTGGGTGAGCAATCAGATGTTCAACTCACACATTATCCTAGCTTTTTGCACGATGTAATCATTTCACTTATAATCTCACCCCTCATCCCAGTTTTGGATAAAAGTGATGCTTTCACTCAACTACATTTTCTAATGAAACGTAAGGAAGGGACCCGGCGTGAGCTGGGTGAGCTGGTTAACAATGTTTCCGTAGAGGAAAGAAGTTCAATTGATAACGTTATCTGGTAATTGTGTTATTATCACTGGAAACACTTGTAGGCTCCATTCAAGGCTTTGGTTGCCCAATATTTATCTTTAATGGTTATGTTCGAGATGAAGGTCACAGATCAAGACTTTCTATTATAGGCATAAGCATCGGCAATAGCGAAGACCACTTGCACTGCCCTGTTAGTCATATGTCAAATTTTGTGTTCAGAAAAGTATCATCTGTTTCAAAGAAGAAGTGACCCGATTGTTACAACTCTGTCACAAGAAGGAAGTCATGCGTTATTCAGGCGATCCTACTGTTGCAAAATATAAACTGTCAATTCTAGTGCCTGGTATTTGCGCTTCAAACCTAACGAAGACAACTCGAACAGAACCAGAACTGATTTTTGCAAAAGAAGGTCACGCTAACAATTTAGTGGATAACATGGGTGTGACGTAACGTGAGGCGCTTCCCAGGAAGCAGAATGTTAACTTGGACCTGTGCTTATTGAGAATTGATAAAGCAATCGAAAAACTCTCCCAATACACCGTCGCGAAGGAGAAGTGTCGAACCAAGGGGAGGGTAGACGGGTACATTACCGTTGACTCCACCATTTTTGGAGCTTGCTTAACAATCAATGCTGCATACCCCCATGTAGACTTGATCTCGCGCCATCCTTATTTCAGTCGTCTTTCAATGAGAAAACCTTCGCCGAAGATGAGGGTATCAAATCTTGTGTAGTCGAGTCTTTTTTCTTACCAGAAAATGCCAGATGATCTACTATAGAGAAGCTGTGGGATTACCAGAAGGATGGCAAAAGGTAATTGAGCAAGTTCGGATATATAATACATCAATAATTAAGGTTCGCTCGTTGAAAAAATTTTGCTCGAAAATTGCATTTGCTCTTACACCCAGTTCGATCCTGGGGAGCGGAATGATCTTATTTGGGGTGCCATACAGAAAAGAAATTCATAGAATGAATACTACCAATTTCATCCAGCCATCATATTCTAGTCATATTAGTGGAACCAAACTTATCTTGAGAGAGGAAAGTATGACAACGGCACTGATGGCTTTTTGAAGCCGTGCTTAGGACAAAGCACACAAATTTCTCCTTGATTTTGTCAAAATGCTAATAGGTAATGCGCTTTAAGATAGATATCTACTCCTTGAAACTTTGAACTTTACATACTTGCAGAAGTTTATTCTTATTTTTCCAGTCTGGAAATCAGCAATCCGTTGTGAGCGGTTGCTCAGCGGTCACAAGATGGCGTAACCAGTGTAGTTTTCCTGCGTAGCCCAATAAACCTTACAAAAACATTACTTTAGAGAAGTGAAAAAAGCTGCTGTTCGCATCAGAGTCTCTGATTTAGGAATTGTAATTTCAAGGTCGGCATGTGCAGTGCTTTGACTTCCGATTCAGTGGTAACGATACAAAAATGTTGTATGGCAGATTTACTGTCACACCAGCGGTCATCCTGGGATTGTTAGTATTCTTTGCAAACCATGGCGCTGAACCATTCATGCCTTCAGTGAACTGCTTTCATCAAAGCTTCATAGATATGCCGTAGTTTCTTGCCAATCCACAAAATCATTTCGACGTTATGTACTGTCCATGAAAAATCGCTTCGCAACCATATGAGCTGTTCCTTTACGTAGGTTTGCTCGGCTGAGCTAATGCTGATGAGGTCAATTTCGGTTGATAGTTGAGCTGCCAGCACGAAAATTGGAATGCTAAGTTCACCACTATATGTAGTACAAAGACATGCACGAGAAGAGTGCACATGTGCAACGTTTAAAAAGATAGACAATTCAACATACTCGTTTACTATTTCTAAGGTTAACAATTAAGATCAACAATTATGGTCAGGTGTCTGAGAAGAGCAACTCTGCTGATAGCTGACAGTATTCCTAAGAGTGACAGTTAACATAGTTGTTTAGTATCCACAAAGAATTAAAATTGTGAAACTGTGAATGATATCAATAGGTAGGTAACAATATGGTAAGTCTGTTGAAAGTTCTCATCCTGAGCCACACCGCAACTTCGAACAACAACTGGTGATAGCGAAATCATTTTTAAAAATAATACAGATTGCACAATCCTCATCACTGCTAATCTCACCTAAAATCTAGGAAGCTAGTTGGTACACCCTAATTTTGTTCCAAAACGACTCCGACTCTATGCGTTGGAATGATCGGATCAAATCTTTTTCCTACATTACCTAATGAACACTCTTTTATGATTCCTGCTTCTACATATTGTTTGGTATCTCCACTTTCAAACCAGAACTTTGGTGTTTTGCCGAAAATCCACTGCCAGTCAGTCAGGTCAGCGAGAATTTTTGTACATTGCTCGTTCCTTACCACCTCCTCGTCAACATCGACCTCATCGACTGGACATTCCTAAAAATGCTAAAATGAACGGGGCGAAGCTAAGGAAAATCTCATTACAAGGCAAAGCGTGGACTGTTATTCCATGTCCACAATGATATCTAGCACAATGGTGGAAAAAGCTATAAAGACAATCTAACCTTCTAATCATCGTACTCAAATGACGATCCCGTATAACTCAGCAGCTCAGCAAGCTCACCCCTTCATCTCGTCGTCTATACGACCGACATAGGCATTTTCAGATTTATGTACCCGAAAAACGGACATAAATCTTATCTGGTTTGGAATCCTGAGCATTTTTGTACCATGCTCACAATCATCAGCCGATCAAATATTGTAGCTTATTCCTTGGGCATCATGTGCAAGAATGTTAATGGAGGAGAGAAGAAACTGGTTCACTGAGGAGAAAATCAAAGAGAGTGTCACAAACACAAAAAAAACCGTGAATGCCTTTCTTCCTTTCTGCAGTCAACTCTTGTTGATAGCGTGCGCGAGATTGAATGCATTCAGACTTCACCGACTCCCATTGTTTCCACTGACCGACCGACGGCGTTGCTGGCCGCGTGTTGACAACACAGGGCATGCTGCGTTTAGGGCCGTTCAGGGAGGCGTGAGTCGTGAGGGCGTGTGATCCATCGGTGACCAATGTTGTCAACACGGGCCAGGAGCGTCGTCGCTGGGTCGGTTGGTCGGCGGAAAAGGCCGATAGAGTCTGATAGCACCCAATGAGGCAAGGGATGGAGCGCTTGATTGGGGAGAGGACCGTCCTCTATGTGGAAAGACAAATGCGATGCTTCCACTTTTTTGGCCCCATCAGCACTAGTATCGTCCGGCCAGTCCTTACAGTCGATTATCATGAATTTTCACTGTCGCTCAAAGTGGCGAAGCACCGCGGTGCCAGCTTCACCTTAGGTTAACAAACCTCCGTATTCTTCTGCTTTCGTAATGCGATCAGCTCCAAAGATGAGCAGAAGGAAACGCGCAGCGTGGGGAGCATTAAGGAACATCAAGGGGACAGTTAAGTAGAGCATCCGGCTCCGCTCTCATCTTTTCGCCTTTGCACTCCTTCTTGCCCAGGCATACGCCTCCGGAACTTACCTCTACGCAAAAAAGGATGTGCATACAGTCAGCGTCATGCAACGTGCTGTGAAAAGGACAATACTCGGAGGGAGTTTCAGATTCGATTGACGCAAGTTCAAAGTAGAATTCGCAGTTCGGAGCTCCGTCACAAAACGATGATTGGTAGCCAAAGTTGGTCGCTTGAGTTGAAAATCGTTCCTGAGACTTCACTCTGTCGGGTCGAATAACAGCTTAGATCGGTTTCGCCGATCGACCGCCAGATCGCCACATTCCCGTTCAATCATTGGATCAACTACCTTTCTGAAACCTTATATTTTCCCGAATACGCCGATTTCCGCGTTTTCTCCGTCTCTTTCGCACTATTCTGGAATATCACTTCCATAATTCGTCAAAAATTGGATACCCTAGAGCTGTCGTAAACTGTGCCTTCAATCCAGGGGATGGAGAACTGATGGGCGAGTTCAGCGCGATGATCGAACTTTACCATCAAGGCCCTAAACCAAAGGAATGGCACTCTTGTTTCCCTCGTATTGCAACAATTGCAACATGAGCACATTTTAACTTGAACGGACTGTAAAGAGGGATAACATTTTAAATCAGCGTGAACAGGCACGCATCCTGATGTAACATTTTCGAGATTTATTGCCATTGGTGAAGGTTCTTTGATCAGTTGGCACGATCAAGAGGATCACCCAAAGCAAAAAAGTGGAAGAAGTGAGCGAAAAGCAGTTTTCTCGTGGGTTGCCGTACTTACTGCGGAAATGGAAAAGTTCTTTGCTTGATGAAAGTTCGGCCGCACAAGCGGACAGATTCGCTGTCGCCACTGTTGGCTGTCAGTAATGAGAATTCTTGCTGCTTCCCTTCTAGTCATGGTAAGCCAGATCACATTATAGTGCAACCGCGGGACAAGTCTCATCGTCAGTGTGGTATGAACGAAAAGAAGTCGTAACTCATCACTCATCTTTGCCCTTCATTTTAAGACTTCTTGAGGAAATCAGGGGCGTCTCTAATCCCTCATATACTCGTCTCTTGCGCTGTTATTTCGAACTTCATTTCAGTATGTTGCCATTGTGCTCCTCAGTTTTATGCCTAAAAGCGCAGTCATCAGGCTGACGCGCCTCATACTACCTAGGTCCGTAAGTCCTCTTTAATTCATAATGCATAATTGTCAAGCTAGTTGCCTTCCCGTTTATAAGATATATGTCGATCCACATGTCACCCATTTCATCTAGTTCCACTGCTTGTTTCAAAATGATAGCTACTTGGTGTGGTTGAAGGAATGTATACTAATCATACCAGTCATTAGAAGTAAAGCACACACCAAGAACAGATGCTAGCCGTTGTCCCGTAGCATGACTGTGACTTGATAGAAAAAATTTCCGCTTACATTACAGGTTAGGTATTCCTTGACCATTATCACTATATGCGCCTTACTAACCAGGGAAGGATCCCAAGTCGAAGCGAATATTTGAAATGAAACCTATACTGCTGGACGTGTTTTGGAGGCTGAGTTCAAATCTGCTTTCCAAATTTGCCAAGCGTTTCTCTGAACGGAGTTATGAGGGTGGTTTCAGTGAGCTTAACATGAGAAAATTTAAACTACATGGATGTGCCTCATTTCTCAACGGCAGCTTGGTGTAGTGATAAGCGTGACGCTTCATGGGCTAGAGGCTAGGGTTCGGATTTTGTCGCGGACGGAATTTTTCCATTATACAGAATTTTCCCCTTGAGGACTAGAAAATACTCTCATGGTGATGCCTTTGCTGAAAATCATCCACATAAAGTAATACTTCTGGTCTACTCGCATGCCCATGCCCTCTATAATCACACTAGGCTAACTTTTGCCACTTTATGAACAAATGTGATACTCTAGTACGAAATGCTTGAAAAAAAGAGAACGAGAGAACGATATGCTTCTCGCAATGGGAGCAACGGATGAAAAAAACTCGTCACAGCCCATTGCTCTACACTTACTAACCCTGAATCGGAAAGAAAACAGGATTGTGTAGGCGTGGCCGAAATCACCCGGGTGAGCGCTCAAGTAGCCGGCGGCATACCATGAATACAATAGGATTTTCCTAAATTTAGCCGGGCAGAACTGAAAGTAGACAAGCGATAGTAAACATAGAATGGGGTCTCGTGTGTACACGCAAAAGTTGAGATCATGAGCTATTTCATATGAGGTGGTGCGTTTAATCATCTAACGGCTGTATTAGCCTCGTGGTAGCCTCGGCAGGGTGCCATTCCCTTCACCTGCTTTCGTGGAGGTACGGCGCCCTGAATAGCTTTCTGGTCTTCGAGTCCATTATCAACAGTGCCGATGTTGGTGAGTCCGGAGCTGCTGCGCACCACCGCACCCAATCTAGCACTACCACCCATTATAACATCATCATTGCTCATCATATACATTTTACTCTCCCGGACATCCACATTTTGCGCACGGGGGAATTTCCCACTCGGTAACGGATAGGTAGGTAAGAGAAGGCATCAGCAAAGTATCAAAAGGTCATAAAACGTGATAAAAACACTAAGAGAGTATTTTCTAAAACTTAAGGGAAAAATTCTATATAATGCAAAGATTCCATCCCCTACAAAACCCGAGCCCTAGCCTCTCGCCCATGAAGCTTCACGCTCACCACTACACCAAGCTGCCGTTGTGAAATGAGGCACATTCATGTAACTTAGGTTTTCTCATGTTAAACTCCCTGAAACCACTCTCATAACTCCGTTCAGAGAAACGCTTGGCAAACTTGGAAAGCAGATTTGAACTCAGCATCCAAAGACACGTCCAGCAGTGTAGGTCTCATTTTAAATGGCCACTTCGACATGGGAATCTCCCCTGGTAAGTTCTAAGGAATTAATATTATCAGCATGCCTATCTAGCATTTCATATCATGCTTGTGGGGGCTGCTCGTTTAGCTATACTATAAGCGAAACAAAGTCGAAGGTGTCGACTACAGTATGATGAAGTGGGATGCTACATAGACATGCTAATATTAACACCTTTAGGCTCAATAGATTGAATATAATGATGTTGGTCAAGGATTCTAGCCCCTGTTCCAGACATGTGATAGTGGGTAGTGTCGAAGCCGACATGTTTATGATAAGGCTACTCACGAACAGTTATGGTGAATGTTGGATCAACTGCTCGAAAGAGGCCCAGAGCTGGTCTTCATCATAAGAGTGCTCCCAAAGGATCAAAATGTTAGCTTGCATCTCTACTAATCAGACCAGATCATCACCTCTGAGACAAGACCGAGCATATTTCTTGTGACTCAGCAAAAACTATTGAAGCCCGGTTGAGAACTAATGCTGCATCGACCATTTATCCATCATCGCACTGACCTCGCGCCATCCGGACTCCAGTTATTTCGGTCGTTGCAGAATTCATTCAAAGGGGATATTTACTGAAAATGAGACCAACAAATTTTGTGTGATCTAGTTTTTTTGCCCAAAACCATAGGTTTGAGAGGAGTTATGAATCAACCAGAAGGATGGCAGAAGATGACCAAATGAAAGTGAGTATATATCACTGATGAAGGCCCGTCTAATAAGGAAAAATCTTTCGTGTAACGCTCAAAAATCGTAATTATTCTCTGAACACCCTAGAAAAAACCCCAAGCAGCTACTAGTACGAAACAGGCCCTACGATAATCAGTGCATAACAAGATTGCATGCATGTATTCAACAGGACTTCGCACTGTTAGGCGTGATATAATAGATGAAGTGCCGACATAGATGTCAACATACGTCGGAGAAACAGGAAGACAACCAACCGAAAGAACGAAGAAAAGAGCACCTAGTTAGTATGGGGGGGGGGGGGGCGCCTGCCTGAGACAGCGCTTGGTAGGCACAAAGTTGAGGAGCACAGTGGCAACAAAGTTGAAATAAAGTTCGAGACAGCGAAGGAGCAGGAAATTGTAGCGAGAAAGACATCAAAAGCGTTTTGGATTTCAAAAAGAAATCCTAAAATGAAGGGTAGAAATTAGGGTCCGTCCATAACCAACGACCGCTTTTGCCGTACATACCGCACCGCGAGTAGTGGCTCAGTAGTACTCTAACACAACTCTTATCGTTTTTATCATGTGTATAATGGAGACAAAGAAAGTTTCATTCACTGATGCTAGTCGCCTAAGGCGACAGTGAATTTTGTCCGATTGAGCGGTGGAGTCTCAGTGGTTCACACTTCAAATTGTGGGTTTTGATCAATTGGGAAATCATCTAGAGTTGCATTTAAGCCTTTGAACAAGACGGTTTCGTCGAAACGCTAGGCCGTTAAATTAAGAAATCTTCCCACCTAAAAAAAATCGCACGGCAAAAATGTCGTAATCGCATTTACGGGTAGACTATCAAACCGTCTCATTCGGGAGAAAAGGGTCCGAAAATTTAGGATACAATGTTACGAGTTCTACAGCTCCGGTGGTGAGATTCGTCCACGCACTCGACTTCCAGTCAGAATCCTACAAGGAAAGGATACATGATCTCAGGCATATCAAAATGAGATGTATACCGCCGGTGTTGGTTTCGAACGCTGGTTTCAAATCGGTGTCCCAAATCTGCCAAACGATTCTGGGAACCAAGTTACGAGGCCATTTGCTCCCTGTGTTATACCCTGCACCGAACCGATTACCCAATCGGGCAAAGCTGTAGCTGTGCAACGATGGCGCAGCTGTTAAGACTGTGGCCGGCGGGCATAGCATGAGGGCTCGAAGCATTGATGCATGTGCTCGCATTGTTGTTCCATGGAACGCTAGCAAAACGTTTTTGGGCTCGATAGTGTCTATCCATTGTAACCTTCTCAATTTTAGAAACACTGAAAAGCTTACAACGAAAGCTCTTCTCGCCTAATAAGGATCGAGCTACATCTCCGTGGAATAGGAATTCTCAAAATGGGCTCCAGAGGCTTCAAGGGGCGATTTACTAAATGTTTCAATGGACCAATGGAATACGCTCTTCAAGGTGTCATTAGCGAAATATTCTGTGTCACGTATTTGTTCTTGCAGCATGACGTGAGCCACCTATGAAAGTAAGGAGAGTAATAAAAAGCTTCTCGTCCATACCCTTCGATGCTATATGTAAACAAACTCATTACCACTTTGAGGAAGACGAGTCTGCGAAAGGTGATCGTAATGATCTCCAGTCGCCTAGCGATGAGAGCTCCATAATATCGCGAAGAAACCTTAAGCGTTTGTGGGGATATTATCGTCTCAAAGTGAAACGTAAGTTCCCTTTCTGTGATCTGGCCCACGAGCTTCAATTTTATGGCGCTAGTAAGAGCCCATAGCTTTTCATACGAGTGCCAAAAGAAGCCGCTTTTCCTCGTGCATCAAAAACAAGTTTTGTTCGTCACGACCGAGTGTCATCTACAGAAGTTCAGGGGAAGTGAGAGAGATAATGAGATTGAGTTTTCGAATTAGTCTCTTTTCGACAAATCATGCCTTGGGTGGTTGTAACTATCTAGCGCAGAACAAGCGGACTGATCTGTTTTCCAACGGATTAGCGGATAAGTTGAAAGGATAATTAATCACAAAATTAATACATAGCTCTCATTGCATTTCCTCCGGATAACGCTTAAATTCAACAATGAAGCCCTTATAGAGGCCAACCTCAAAGCGAGTTGTATGTGGATTCAGGGTTTTGAGTTTAGCCGTAGTATTACAGCCTACCGCATTGCCCATGTCACTCAACTTGTACCAGCGCTTCGAAAGTGCCAACAGTATTCCTCGAATTGGAGGACCGAATCACATTCAAAGAGACCTCTGATCAGATAAGCCACTCGACCGCCCTCTACCGTGAGTGTAAAGAGCTACAGAAAGTTTGGAAACACTATCACGGGCGTTTGGAGGAGAGAGGCCTATATATATATATATATATATATATATATA